AGGACCTTGCACTTGGCCTTGTTGAACTGCATGAGGTTGGCTTGGGCCCACCTCTCCAGCCTGTCCAGGTCCCTCTGGATGGCATCCCTCCCCTCCAGCGTGTCTACCTCGCCAAACAGCTTGGTATCATTGGCAAACTTGCTGAGGGTGCACTCAACCCCACTGTCCATGTCACCAACAAAGATGTTGAATAGTACAGGTCCCAGTACTGACCCCTGAGGAACGCCACCTGTCACTGCTCTCCACTTGGACATTGAGCTGTTGACCGCAACTCTTTGAGTGCGACTATCCAGCCAGTTCTTTATCCACTGAGTGGTCCATTTGTCGAATCCATGTCTCTTCAATTTAGAGACCAGGATATCGTGTGGGACGGTGTCAAACGCTTTGCACAAGTCCAGGTAGATGACATCTGTTGATCTTCCCTTGTCCACTGCCGCTGTTAACCCCTTCATAGAAGGCCACCAAATTTGTCAGGCAGAACTATATAACAAGATTGAAGGAGAGAGGAAATCTTGACAGATAGAATAGAGCAGTAATTTAATTGAAAATGGTTATGGATTTAGTACTCTGTCTCATTTTCCTCACTGTTCTCAGGAAATACTGTATTTCACGTAAGGTGCTAGAGACTGCTTGGCTCTACCAGTTATTGCTGTACATATCCTTACAGCTGCAGTCATACCACGCACCTCAAAGTATCTGGTAAGCTGGCTGCTCTCCTTAGGCTACATGTATAACCAGGAGAGAAATGGGAGAAGAGTAGTAGGCTGACTTGTTCCTCCACGCTGTTCTCACTGGACCATTCAGAGTACTGAAATGAGTCATATGAGTTGCTTATGGAGGAACCTGCAGAAGGTAGCAGGTTAGGTTAACTGCTTCATATTAGGTGTCTCCTGATTGTTCTGAAGCATTTTTGAAATATGTTTTGTTTTGTTGTGGTGTTTTTTTTTTTTTAAAGACTGTGGAAAGGTGCTGCAGCTACAATAACAAGGCAGCTTTCTACTACTCCTTTGTTAATCTAAGATATTGGCTTTTAAATATAAAATGTATTGAGGGGAATCTTCCAAGAAATTTGTGCTTTTTGGTATGTCCTTATGCCATAAATTCTTTTGCATTTCTTACTTAAAAATTCCTTTAAAAAGTTACTGTACTGATTATCAAAGTGAAAGCTTCTACACCTACCTGGATTATTTCTTGGCACTGAAGTGTTGCAGACCCTGCTCTGAAGAAATTGACGTTCCAGGACGTGAATATAGGGTGTGAAAGAGCAGAAGATTGTACAGGCAAAAAGGCATGCAGGTTGTCTTAATCTCTATTTTGCTGTCTGTGGAACCATGCTGCCTCTTTCTGCTTCTATCAGTTATTTCGGTATTAACGTTTGTATGTCAAAGTACTTATTTTCTTAGAAAGATTTGATATTAATAAAAAACCCCACGATTTTTAATCTTTTTTTCAGTGGTGCTGTTAACAGAAGTCGACAAACTTACTAAAGATGCTCAGCATGCTTTGCGAAGAACGATGGAGAAGTACATGGCAACCTGCAGGTTGATCCTGTGCTGCAACTCCATGTCAAAAATTATAGGACCTATTCAAAGTAGATGCCTGGCTGTACGAGTGCCTGCTCCCAGCATTGAAGATGTATGTTAAAACGGATGCAAAAATAAGTTATTTAAAACTTCTTACTAATAAATATTTCTTAAGATCACAGCGAGAACTTTACTTCCACAAAGTGACCTAGTTTTTCTTTGTGGTGGGTGACTTGTCAAGTGTGTCTTATGAAAGACTGATCTATCTCTGGTCCAGAAATGTTTCAAACAGGAGACTCTGTAGGTGTTAAACTGTTTTCTAAGTGTTGCCCTCCCTGCTGTCTGTTTCACATCTAGATCTGCCATGTCTTGTCCAGTGTGTGTAAGAAAGAAGGCCTGACTCTTCCGCAGGAACTGGCTCAAAGGATTGCAGAGAAATCTGGTAGGAATCTTCGGAAAGCACTACTTATGTGTGAATCCTGCAGAGTACAACAGTAAGTCACTGCTAAAAAAATAATGTAAATTACACTTGCAGACACATAAATGAACTTACTTCTGAGGCTGTATTAGAATAGGTGACAGGTTGCTTTGATTTTATTTTTTTAAAATATTATTATTATTATTATTGTTATTACACAGGTATCCTTTTACTGCTGATCAAGACATTCCTGAGATGGACTGGGAAGTTTATTTGAGAGAAACTGCAAATGCTATTGTTGGTCAACAGACACCACAAAGGTAGGTGAATACGTTTGCTTGCAGCTATAAGTTATATTTTTGGTGTACTTTCAAACCTAAAAAGAAAAACCCAGTTATATTGTTATATTTTAAAATGTGGCATCTTTACTTTTAGCTATATGTAATCCTCTGGCATTTCTGCTGGAGCTGGTACTTTGCAGTCAGAGGAAGTGAGCTTTAAAATTACCAGAGAAGGCTGAGTGAGCTTCAGGAACTGAAATGATTGTTGGTTTTCTCTGTTGAAGTTTTGTAATAAAAGTGAGCATAAGCTTAGTTGCATGTTTTGCTGTCTCTGGTTTTTTGTTTGTTTGTTTTTTGGGTAGGTGGGTTTTTTAAGGGTTCTGTTTCACCATCTTTAGCATAATGTACTTTTGTAAAAGAACTGAAAATGAGAAATCACTGTTTTGTGGGTTTTTTTTTTTTAAGGACATTAGGAGTTAACCCCTTTATCCATCTCGTTGTCATACATACAGCCTGATCTTTTTCGTCTGTTCTATATATTACATGAGATGTCACTTAAATTCTTGTATTTAATTTAAATGCTTGTAGCCTCTGACTTCCTGATATCAAAAGTTGAGAACTGATAACTGTGTCCCTTTCTGCCACCTGATAATCTTACCCCCTTTTGTAAACAACGAAGACAGAAAAACAGCATAAACAAATCTTGTGGCTCTAATCAATTTTGTAGTGGCTTCTCACTAATCTTAAGCATGATAATAATTTAGATATGAAGAGGAATTAGAGGGAGACAAGCCTGAGACAAATTCTAATAGCCTTGTAGCTTCTAGATTAACTGAGACCATTGTAACTAGAGTATGTGTAACTTATCTTACTGTTTTGAATAAAAGGTGATCAGTAGCATATGAATTAAGACTGATTTGTGCAATGCTTCTGGGTTTAAAATAACCCACAAAACCAAAAACAGGAAAAAAAAAAAACCAAAACCAAAAAAACTTTTGCTTGGGTTGACTTTTTTTTTTCCTGCAGCATATTTCACTATTTGTGAAACACATTAGTATGCTTTGGGGATGTACTTATGATATTTTGTGGTGTCTTTCCAACAGGCTTTTAGAGGTCCGTGGACGGCTTTATGAACTCCTCACACACTGCATTCCTCCTGAGATTATAATGAAGGTAGTTCAGCTATCTAGCTGTTAGTGTTTATAACACATTATGACAGTCTCAGTTTCAGTTTAAAAAAAAAAAAAAAAACACAAACAAAAACCAAAACCAAACCACACCAAAACATAGCAAATTATCTAAACATTAGTGAAAACCTATGCCTTTTCCAAATAGATAGGAGTGACCAAAAACTACTTTTCTGATCTTTAAGGTCTCTTCCAACCTAAACCATTCTGATTCCTGTGTTTCTTTCCACTAGAGTAACTAAAATAGTTCAGGTTATCGCTCTGAAATGGTAATTATAGACCTTGTTCCTGCAAACACTGACCCTTAGCATTTACTTCTCATGATCCTCAGCCAATATACTAGATGATTTAGTTATGTTCATGCCTCAATATATTTAGGCATAATAGTCTTGAGTTGTGTGGATTTTGGGGGCAGGAAGATTCTGTTCTCTAATTTGGAAAATGTCAGTTTCTAGTTTATTTCTGTTGCAGGCTTCCTTGTTTGCCCCTCTCTTGAATCCTTTACTAAAACTTGTTCTGTGATCATAGAACAGCAGCATTGTAGTTGAGTGAAAACAAAGGAGGACATGTGTAGTCCCCCTGAAGACTTCTCTGGACAGTTTCTGTATTGAGGCATAGGTGTATTTTATGGGTTAATTCTGATACGGTTTGTTTTCTCTTGTAAAAGTTACAAGTTTGTTATAAGTTCAGTATTTGCTGTGTCCTAGTGGAGAGGTTTGCTGAAGGATGCTAAGCCAGCAGGTGTCTTCAAAGAAGTCATCTCGGGAGGAAAAAAAGCAAATGGGCCGTGCATGTTTTTATTTTAAGCAGGATGAAAGGATGCTGAAGAAAATTAGAGCAGAAAAAAACATTGAAGCTAATGTTTGCAACTTACCCTAGGAGGACTTTGCCATCAGACTTAATTACAAGATAATAAATTTCTTTTCATGTTAACTGATTTCTGCTTTCTAACAGTTTTTGTAGTCAGATGTTTCTTTAACCTTCCTTTCTTGTGGTAGATTAGTGGATCTTGCATTGTCCTGTCTGAGGACTGTTGTTGTCGTGCCAAAGGTGTATTTCTGTACCCGCTTCCTCTTCATAAACTTGACATGGTCTAGAGATACTTCTCAAATAATCCTGACTGTTTTAATAGAGATGGATTTGCAATGATTTTATTGTTGTCTTGGATCCAAAATACTGCATTTCTGGTTTCTGTAGTGACTGATGTATTGTTGTAAAGTATCTTGTGTGTGTCTATACATACACATGCATGTAAAAACAAACAGATAAACTCTAAATAAGCCCTTTCCTTGTTACTTATTAATGTTGTTTCTCTTTGTGCTCGATGCTTTCAAGATAGGAAGTACGTGATTTTAATACACTTGCTATCTTGGTAAAGATTCTCTCCAGGACCATGTGCCTGCATGCAGTAGAGGTTATAGTATTTGGAGATAAGGTTAATTTATTTACTTTATTAAGGCTAAGTAGTTCCAGTATATGACTTTTCCCATCTAAGAACACAGTAGGTAACATCTATTTTGACATAAGTAATTTATCTTGAAAGAAAGTTCTGAAGAGACATGGTTCCATAAGTCTTGTTCTGTCAGTGTAATGTAATGATTCTTGAATGTCTTTCTCTATTGGATTCATGAGTGAACCATTGGTCATAGCTTGGCTATTTTCAGGAATTCAGATTATCCTCTTAACAAAAATTACATAATTTTTTCAAATATTGTCCTGTTTTTTCCCCTTTTAGGGCCTACTGACAGAACTTCTAAATAACTGTGATGGACAACTGAAAGGAGAAGTTGCACAGATGGCGGCCTTCTATGAACACCGCCTGCAACTGGGGAGCAAAGCCATTTATCATCTGGAAGCATTTGTAGCAAAGTTTATGGCAATTTACAAGAAGTTTATGGAGGATGGACTAGATGACATGATGTTCTAATTCAGGTGCCCAGAGTCAAATGCAGAATGTTGCAAATGCCGTCTCCTTGTCCGTGTTTGGCTGCATATGGGTCTAGTTTAAAGTCAAATAATTTATTTTGCTATTAGTATAAACCACAGTGAACTAAAGAACAATGTTTATTCAGGTTTAGAAACCAGATGGATTGTTTGACAGCCACAAATCCATCTTTAGATCCATACAAAATACATTAGCCTTTCAGAAGGATAACAGGTTGCCTTGGAAGTTGTATAAGATCATAGTTACTTTGCAGTGTTTGTAAGCTGACGTTACAAAGAGAGAACACGGATAGTGCACGCTTGCTTTTTGATTGTTCATGGGCAACGCTGTAAGCAAAAAATGGTTTTTCTGCGTTGTGGTAAGCTCCAGTTCGAGCATGTATGTTCTGCCTACTGATTTCATGTATCTTGCTGTTTGTCTGTCTGCTTTTATTTTAGCCATGCTGTTTTCTGTGGTGTGATGACACAGAATGTTTTCTGGCTCTTGTTTCTAAGCAGTTGCATTGAAATTGTGGATGAGCAATACTTTTGTGTTGCTTGTAAATCAGTTTGACAACATGAAACAATTTGCTTAGAAGGATTATACCTATATAAAGCAAGTCCACTTGCTGTCTGACGCTTTCAGGTTCACCTCAACGTACCTAAAGGTGTTCAGATAAAGATTATTCCTTTGACTGTGGTTTAACCACGGGTAAGGTTTCAAATTTTAACAAATATTCTTTCACCTCTTAAATTGATATGTGACATTTCTAAAATGGCAAAATAAATTGTAAAAATAGAACACCAAATGAAATGCTGAATTAGCATTTTACACTATAACTACCTATGTATGCATTCATTTGCTTTGATGTAGACTGTTTATCAGAAAAGTGGGATATGCCCCCCCCCATTGTAAGAATAAAGGGAGCCACTGAAGTTTAAAAAAAACAAGAAGAAAAAAAAAAAGAAAAAACCCCAATAACCCTACCACCTGTGCTCCTTTATCCTACACGTCTTTTACATGTTATGCCCATGTACTATGCTATCCTAAAAATGACTGAATTCACTCCCTTTGTTACTTCATTGTGCTAATTTAGGCTATTACTAGATAGTATTTAAATATAAAGTTCGGGGTTTTTTGTTTTTTGTTTTTTTTAAGCAGGGAGTGGCTTCGTATTGGAGATTTTGATCTAAGAGCCTGTTTCACGTTCAACTGCTCCCCTTAAAACTGAAGAAGTCCAGAAGACTACCACAGCAGTGGCAGTCTTGACTGTCAGAGATCTTGGAAAACCACTGAATTAGTGGAAATGAGTGCTTAAATCCATTACAAAGAGAAGCACAAGAATGGTGGTAGAGGGGGCATAATTACTGTACAAATTGCCTGCTCTTTCAGGAGCCTGGTCTTGCCTACTCCTTTTTTAAAAGCTGAACAGTCTTTAATTTTGCCTACTACCACTGTAGCATGTGATGGAGCGAAAGTGTGAATTCAAAAGCTTCCCCCTCCAAAAAAAAAACAACCAAAAAAACCCCACCCAACCCAAAACTAATGTGAGAGAAGAGGAATGTATGTAGGGATGTGTGAAATACAGTTGAAATGCCCAGGGACAGCATTGCTACAGAGGGTGGAGAGGCAGGAGTGGGACTGTGGGTTCCGCAGTGGGAGGAAGCTGAGGAGTTTGCTGTTTCAAAAGATCTCAGCAGCTTTGTCTAGGAGACTGAAACTCCAACATAAATGTCTCTGTGGGTGTTCTGCTGTCTGTTCTTGAAGCTTCATTTTTATCGTGTTCTACCTGGGATGAAGTGAGAGCAGTCAAGGATGGAAAAATGGGTTGCTGAGAGAGGAAGATGACTATCACTGCTCCCCAAAGCTGGTGTTTCTCCCTGCTGCCGCCTCCTGCCTCTTTGTCTTCCCCAGTCACACACAAATTTAAACATGTGGGCTCAGTATCTCATAAGTCTCTGCACACGTTTTTCCTTCCTACAGTAATTTTTAATTCAATTTTGCCTCAGTATCTGTAACAGGCTCCCCAGGGAAGTGGTCACAGCACTAAGCCTGTCCAAGTTCAAGGAGCATCTGGACAATACTCTTGGTTGTATGATTTAGTTTCAGGCAGTCCTGTGAGGAGTGGGGGGTTGGATTTGATGATCCTTAGGGGTCCCTTCCACCTTGAGAGATCACAGAATGGTTGGGGTTGGAAGGGACCTTCAGAGATCATCTAGTCCAATCCCCCTGCCACAGCAGGTGGCACAGGAATGCATCCAGGCAGCTTTTGAATATCTCCAGAGAAGGAGACCCCACAACCTCTCTGGGCAACCTGTTCCAGTGCTCTGTCGCCCTCAAAATAAAGAAGTTTTTCCGTGTGTTCAGATGGAATTTCCTGTGTTCCAGTTTGTGCCTGTTGCCCCTTCTGTTGCTGGGCACCACTGAAAGAGTCTGGCCCCGTCCTCTTGATACCCGCCCTTTAGAGCATTGATCAGATTCTGTGATAATGATTGGTAAGTGCGCTTTTTGGGATCATCTTAGAGGCTAAACGCCCTGAGTGCTGCTTCCCCTCCCTTTTGGGTAGCTGTAGCATTAGAGGCAACGTGGTGCAGAACTGAGGTCTTGGGCTGTGCTGGAGGAAGCAGGGACCAGTAACCCCCATCGCAGTGGCAAATGGGGCTGATAGGAACATATGAGCAGGTGGTTGCCAGAAAGAAAAATGAGTTTTCTGCCACTTTTTACCTCTTGTGAGGCTACTGTGTAACCCTTGTACCAGAAAAGCAGAACCTTAGCCTGGTGAGGAAGGGTGTCCTGGGGTGGGCTCGGCTGCCTGCATGCACCCAGGAGCAGCGCTGTGCTGGACCTACGCTGAGCGCTGCACTCCTTCACAGATCAAGTGGGAGAGGTCATGCAGACGGACTTTTAAACACTGAATAGCGCAGGACCAACCTCTCGGTTGATCCGTTTCTTCAGCTGATTTCATCTTTTGAGACCTGCTTAGAATTTCTTCCGAATTGCATGCTGAGAGGATTACCCTTGCTTTCATCCAGCGTCACCTCCTGCTACTTCCAAACGAAAACTCCAAGCTGCTCCCGCCCGGGTGGGACTCACGCACTGAACAAGTCGAAGAGGTTGCGGAGGAGTCTGCTTCGTGCTAGCACGGAAAGCCAGAGGTGAATCCAATTTTTTATAAAGGTGATCAAGAAACTAAAGGCAGCAACCACTTTAGTTAAAACTTTCTCTGCTCTGCAAAGATCAGCCGTGCGAAGGGCGAGTTGTGCATTCGGACTTTACTCCCCATTTCTGAAGTCCAAGTGTTAACTCCTGTGAAGAACGTTATTTTTAAAATCATGTTATTTTTAGACATCCATGGTAAACAACTCTCCTTGCGAGTTAATCATAATAAGCATATTGTCTGATGGGAAGATGATTTTTAAAATGTATTTTGTTAAAAAAATTTATATTGGCAAAACTGACATGAGGAATGGCCCCTTCTCTACTAAAGAACTATCCTGATTATCGCAGGTTAGAAGGTAAGCTAGATAAGAGAAGAGTTCATTATCACAAATTTTCCTTCCAGTGCAGGGAATTCAAGATTATTACAGTTCATTGATATAAAATAATAGCTGTAATTTGTCTTGTTGGAAAGAGCTCTGCTATGCCTGAGCAGCCTTTAATCCTTCTTGCTTAACATTTTTTTGGCTGCGCTAACAATTAGTGCTATATGAATTTGTTGCATTGGATTTCAATCAATGACCCAAACCAAACCCCAGAGTTGTAGTCAGCTAAACAAAAGTTGTCTTAATGTGACAGTGAAATGTGCTTCTAGTTCTTGAAGGCCAAAATACTTCTCTTGATCTTCATATTTCATAACAAGGGAAGGAATGTAAATACATAAGCAAGCAAGAGAAATTCACCTCTATTGTCGGATGTGCCCTGCAGGCTAATCAATAGTACGTCATGCAAGTTGCATGTCAGGACCTCGTTGCACATCACAAAATGAGCAAGATTCAATCGGATGTGCCCTGCAGGCTAATCAATCATCATGCAAGTTGCATGTCAGGACCTCATTGCACATCACAAAATGAGCAAGATTCAAAGAGTTTGCCATTAATTTCAATACATCAAGGAACTGACTCGGAATTTTCTCTGGCATCAAAGCTGAAATTATTTTCTGTCCAAATTAACTAAGACAACTGGGCCCTAACCCAGTGTTTTTTTCTAAAGCAGTGGGTGCTTTGCTTGTCTGAAAAATGAGACTATTAACAGTTAAACATTCCTATAACAGATTTTCTTCTACAGTTGTCTACAGTGTGTGCACTGAAGTTCTGGAAGAAATTGTATACCCTGTTTCAGCAATCCTGGAGCTGGTAAATATCATCTAAATCATTTGAGCGTTAAGTGGTGTTTCAGTGAGGATGGGTTTGACATCTCTTAAATAGGAGTGAAACATAAGATAATACAAGCAGGAGCCCAAAGCACGTAACTTCACCACTGACACCACGGGTCCATCTGCATCTCTCCAACAGAGGTACTGGGGCACCTATCACCACCTCTGTCCTGGCACCTTCTTGGAGCTGATCTTCAGCCCTCTCCATGGACATGGAGTAAGTGTTGGTCTTTCACTGTGGAGCCTGCTTTAGGAACAAGGTGCTATGAGATGTCATCTAAAATGCTGGGCAACAGCTAAGGTTGCTGTTCTCTGCTTCCCTGCAGTAACGCAGTGCTGGGAGTGCCCTCACTGCAACACGAGAGTGCTCCATCAAAATCACTAGTGGTCCAGTGGAAACGCGTGTGGGTGGGTCTGCAAGACAGGAGTACCTGCAGCTTGGAGGAATGTCTGTTTTGCTCCTCTGCCTTTGATACAACGAGGTACTTTATCGGGAATGTGTCCCTGATAGTCCTTTAAGTGACTTTCAGCTCCTAATCAAAATTACCACTTCTTAGTCCCATGGAAGTCTTGCAGTTACTTTTAACTCTTTCTCAGGGATCACCTCACAGAATTTAGTCAATTAATATTACTTTTCTACACAGACTTCTTGATGTTATTCCCAAAGTGGTTGCAGCCCATGATAACTGCTGGAGTGCAGATTCCTAGCTCCGCTTTGTTCATGCCATCTTCTGCCCAGGGTCCCTTGGAACCATGTCTTTGCTGCCCTTGGGATTCCTCCTCCTCTTCAGGTCCCCTTCTCACCT